AGTTCTTTTGTCATGATAGGTGGTGGGATGGTAGGACCTGTTGTGAGTCCTCGCGGGTAGGTACCACCACCCTGCCTATTTCTGCCGTGAAGCAGTAATGCGTTTCGGTTTGAAGCGTGGGGCAGCCCTTGTAACTATACTGAGACCTTACAACTGATATCTCAAGGTGGGTGGCGCATTTACGTTGTAGATGTCTATGGGCTCCAGTATCCACTTAACATCAGGTGGGCTGTGAGCTCGTCCACCCATCCAAGCAATAAAAAAAAAACAATTTTTTTACAGATGATAACGTTTAATAATAGGCTTTCCTATAAAGTTGCAAAAATGTTGCTTAAATAGCTTTTCGCCCATCGTTATATATTCCTCTATCAGCATATTCGATAGACATAAATGAGCAAGCATTGACAAATACTTGTGGTCCCCCGGTAGTCGATATTCGACTATAATTAATTGAAATTATAAGTTTGTATACGATTATGATGCTACTGTCAAAGACACTTCTCTCACAGATTTCGCCAAGACTACACTTTAGACAAATATTATTAAGACAAAGAATATTTAATCTGTTCTCGATTTGGCCACAGACTTTAAACAATAAGAAAAGTTAGACAATAAGCAAATAGTATCCATGCGTGTGTGTGTCAAATACATTTAGAGTATTTTTATGCATAATTTAGAAAAAAAAAATACATTCTGCACTCCTCTATATTCTCTATAAGCGTGGGAAATTTTATACTTCTCCGTTCGGGCAATTTTCGTAAAAACGGGTACAACGTTTTTTCTTCACGTATTAATATATAGATATAGATAATCAATACAATCTTCTCTAATACTTACGTTACAACCGTTATTTAATGACTCGTTAACATCACCGTAACCGGTACAACCTAACAATAAGTTCGACTTTCACCGGTACCTCGTATCCAGCAGATAATTAAATAAAGCAATTATAACGATTTATTAGAACAGAAAAGGCTTTCTCCGCTTTACTCGTGCACTATCTTCGTGTTTATTTGTACGCAGTACGTATAGTTTATCGCACGTTGACCGGTGTGTAATGCAAATAATTCTGCATATTGTGACAATGAAAGATAACGTTTATGTTTGTAGGTTGTATAAATACTTAAGACGGGAAACGGCGGCACCTAGCTACATAGCTGCGTGCAAATATAAGTATAGTTATAGCCCGGTTGGTTTAGTGGTCGGGGAATCTGCTGTACCACGGGTTTTCATTCCCGGTCGAAGTCAACATTTTTTATGATAATTGGTATTAGCCTAACTAATTGTTCTTGCTCTTCGTATATGTATTACCGGCCCGATAAGTACGAAGCCTTTACGCTGTATCCGCCGAAGGAACTAAATTCGACATTAATAACTGATTACTCAAGATTGCAAACTTAAAAAAAAATTATAGTAAATCAAATCGTCGTTATAGAGAAAAACTACCTTCCAAATTGTTAATTTACATCTTCAATAACATACGGTTTTAAAGAAAATCAGAGGGTTTCGTATCAATGAGTCTCGTTTTGGTTACAGAATTCTAAAGCACTTTTATTCATAACGAATGAAGTTAATCTCTATTGTTTGGATATTATTATTAGAATTGGTAAAATACGATAAGTACCTATATACGTCTAATAACAATAAAAATTGAAAACCCTACCAAGAGGATAATTTAATTATTCACTAACAAAAAAAAACATTTTTAATAAAATTCACCGTAACAAAAACACAGATATCGCGGTCAGTCCTGATCATTCTAAGAACATTTTAAATGAAGCATAGTATCGGTTGTATCCTACGCGGAATGTATAATCTTGATGTTTTGAAACGGCCACGTCACGGCTATCCGGAATGCGCAATAACTAATGTCTATGTACACTGTTTGCTTAACCTTGTAAACGACTACTGACATTGGAGTCTAGATTACTAAACAATGGATATAATTAGAGTTGAATTATTCCCTAGATTATTATTCAGTGCGTAGGTATTATATCCAAGATTTCAGGGGCTACAATGAACTGAATTCAATTGCACACCATAGGGTAGCGAGAGTTCTGACTTGCAAAATAAATCAAAATAGAAGAATGAATTATTAAATTTAAATAATAGTTTTTGCACGGCACGCCATGTAACACGATTAAAAATCAGGTGAAGCGCGGAGTTTGACGCGGTCCAAGATCTCGTGCGGGACGACTACAGCTGTTCGCTTTCCATTGCGGATTAACCGAACGTACTAAAACTAAGAGCATATATATTTAATTTATGAAATTAGTCTTATTTTCCGCTTATATACAGCAGTAGAACACTATTGCAGTTTCAGTTTCACATTACATTAGATTTTTATTATTTTTTATTGCCTAGATGTGTGGTCGAGCTCACAGCCCACCTGGTGTTAAGTGGTTACTGGGTGGTACCCATAGACATCTACAACGTAAAATGTGCCACACACCTTGAGATATAAGTTCTAAGGTCTCAAGTATAGTTACAACGGCTGCCCCGCCCTTCAAACCGAAATGCATTACTGCTTCACGGCAGAAATAGGCAGGGCGGTGGTACCTACCCGTGTGGACTCACAAGAGGTCCTACCACCAGTTATCTTTTCGTTTACTAATAAAAGATTGAAGCCTCTATTTAATTCAGGATTATTGTGATTGTATTATTGTTCCTGGTTGTTATCAATTTACCCTTGTATATATGGGCGGAGAAATAACAGTGTAACTAATCATTGAATAAACAAAATCTCCTCCGTGCGTCCGACAAGGTTTACCCTTCAACGAAACATACCATTAATAAGTAAATTAGCAACTCATTCAAATGTTCTTCATCTGTCTAGAAACCGAGGACGTCAATTATGTTAGAGGTTATTTATTTAAGTATTTTTTTTATATATTTTTTTATTCTTATAAAATATATGTAATTACATTGGGATGTTAAGAGGTTTTCAAGGTGAAATGCCTATTCTCATAGCTACATTCACAGGCGGATTTAATGTCGAGACAATAGCATGACAATGCGTTGAATGTCATTTATTCTTAGAGTATAAAAGTTGCAATAGTTATGTAATAAGGAAGCTGTGGGTAGGTAATTGATTCGTATAGTAAAAGGGACAGAAATGTATCTAGAAACATTAATAACAAGCTCACAAATACCCTATTTATCTAAATATAAATCTATATAATCTAAATAAAATATAATATAATCTCAATATTTTTATAAGTTTCTGTCCTTGTATTGTTATATTCCAGTCTGAAGAGCGAGAGAAGGTATGAAGATAGAACATTATAATTTTTACTTTGCAAAAAGGTGAGACTATCGTGCATTTAACTGGGCCTTCGACCTCTATTTGGGCGTAAAGTGGGCGATAGCATTAGCGTTATAATGTCTATGGACTCTAACATTCGTTTACCACCAGATGGGTCGTGAGCTTGTACACCCACCCATACAAATATATTATGATAGTATTATACGATTATTTGGGCTCTATATAAAATAATATAAGTATGTAGTTTTAAAACAACAAAAGAAAACACAGAAAAAAGTAAATAAATTTCATAGATTTTTAGTAAATTGATTAGATTGTACTCTTCTACCCACTTATGTAAAGCTCTCCCTCTTTAAGAACGGTTAGCTGGTAGATAGCTCAATTGTTGAGTTAAGCTCGTCATTTAATAAGTTTTCGCAATTATTGTATTTTATTAACTGTGTGTACAATAAAGAAGAATAAAGATTTTTTTTTATCCTGTTGACACTGATCAGGATATTAGAGCGAAGTAACACAATTATATTAAATAATAAAAATTAAAAGTAATTAAAATGGTACGAATCAATTTTCAAGTTTATAGGACGTCTTGAAGTCAGTGAAAATGAAGTTCAAATATTTAATTACATACAAACTGAATGTACATAGCTATAATATAATATTTCTACTAATATTCCACTCAGCTGTACCACACTAAATTAAACCAAAAACGTACTTAAATATAATAATCTAAGCAATAAAAAAAAAAAGAAAAAAGAAAAAAAACTTAAGTGAAATCCAAATACTTATGTTTTTAACATTACAATAAGTCGAATAGCGTACTTCTGTCTACATATTGTTTGCTTTTTTTTTCACCATTTAATATGTCTAATGTAAATGTTAATGCGCTTATCTTAATTCGGTGCACACACGAGAACCAGTTTTTGTACATATTTGTTAAGTATTTGTTTTGTGTGCGTAAATAATTACAAATGTTGGCATCAGCGGAACCAGTAAGTAATCTATCTGTGGCTTTTTTCTTTCTCCACTTTACTGCGTTCGTTACTGATTCAATTATTTCCTTAGGCAAAACATTCGTAGTTATAAATACTGCACGCAAATTGAAAATGATCGCTGTAATTCACATATTCAGTATTTTTTCCATGAATTAGTTTCAAACAATGAATCCAAATCTTCATTGAACTAATATCTTAATTTGTGATCATACAAGTATTTGTTTAAAACATATCCTATTCAAAATACTTCAGTTAAATTAATCTAAAACAAATTTTAATACACGCTTGAAGCAACGCGTCCGAGAATGTTATAGGCAAGTACACAAGTGTTTAGAAAAGTCAAAACTTTAAGCAAATCGTTGTCCCTTCCCTACCACGCTTTCTTCGGTGAAAACGAAATAACTGTCATTATAAGCGTTGATTTCGTATTCAATTTGGTGGTTATTTTTCGTTTACATAAATAATTTACTTAGGCTTGCAATTATTGAAGAGTGAACAATTTCGCGCTTTCAATTATTGCATCTGTATGTACAAGAAAAGGGTGTCATCTTGATGTGACTCATCTCACAAAAGCGCTTTATCAAATCAAAGGTCAATCAATAAGGTCGTGGTCAAGACTAGATATTGAACTGTAGATAAATTAAATGCGTTGCTTACACAATATGATATCGTGTGAACAGTAATATGAGAGTTATATATTCCCTCTATCCCATGTGCATAAAATTAACAATGTTAATATTCACCCTAGTATCACGAGTTCGCCATATTTGACGAGAGGTTTTGGCTTCTGTTCCGAGCCACTCTCTCCTGCCTCCTCCAGTATCGGTGAGTCCGCACTGTCCGCAGCACTGTAAGAAAACAATATTTTAATATTTTATCGAGCTTACGTAATGACGTCATACTTCAACTTTTCCATCATCTAAATACAGCTGTGAGAGCCCATTTGTGAAATGAAAATAAAAAAGGGAGGATGTTTAATCTAATAAACTAATATAGCTGAACATTTATGCTCTATTCAAGACCGTTTTTATTACATTAAAATTAAAGCCCTGAATGAACAATAAGTACCGCCACCCACAATCTTTTCTACTTCCGTCCGTACGATATCTCATTGATATATCTCCGGTCACGCCTCTCCATCGAACTCACAACTGGTCATGCAGCTGTGGGTCAAGATTAGTGGTAAATTATGACCGAGGCCGCCGAGAACCGGTTGCGGCCGATGCACCGACACTTACGCGAGTCTCGTAAATGGTTATTAAACTCCCCCAGCTATTAAACGTTAAAGCAGCCTCGGTCGCATCTGTCAGAGCGTGCCTATGAAATAATTAAGCGCCTTATGCTGTAAGTATGCGATTTTCCTTTGTTTCATCAGAGGACTTAGCGTTTTGAGTGCTATTGATCGGCGATAAGCTATCGGCCTCTCTACGGAAACTAGGGCACTTTATCTCTTGGCATGAAGGTAGTTTGCTCATTGTTCAATTTCGCTTTTGTATAAATGACTGGCCTACATAAAATTTAGGCGAAGGAAAAGCAATAAACAAATTTATCTCAAAAACACTTTTATAGTAAAACGCGTAATTAGCGCGATTTAACAAAGGCTAATCGATCAAGTTTAAGGTAAAAAAACTCCGATTCCGTTACAGGTAAACGGTCAATGACCCATTTCGACCTTACTTGCCGCACGCACCTACAGAATCTTCATTTGACGTCGACCCGAATTTATGAAGGTTAAAATTTAAATAACTCCAGTCCGATCTCCCGGTCGTTACCTTCAAAAACTTGTATCGAACGTCCAGAGCATCCCGACGCATTTGTATTACTTTAAAATAAATTCTGATTTCATTCCGTTGCACGCAGGTTTTTTTACTAGATTTAAATTCAATATCTTATATTTAAAAAAACACGCCGTTTAGCTATTTCCGCGATGTCAAGTAATTAACTGCATTTGCATGTCTATTGCTAGTTTTTTCCGTGTTATTCGTCAATCACTCTTGTGCTTCTTCAAATAACGGTCGCTGGCAAATTAAGGAAAACATAAAACTACAATTAGTCAATACAACGTGGTGGGTGTGTATTCTAAGAAGTTATACGACGGTGATTCAACATTTCGAGATGGGGGCAACGATGAACGATGGTCACTCGTCACTATCGTCATTCGAATACAGAGCACGTGGCGATAGGAGGCTACGTCGCATCCGGTTTGCCGCTAATAGGAACATTTGCGGGAACAACGGAAGTTAACTTAAAGTCACTTGCGAATCCTTGGAAACACTTGAAAATTTTATTTAAAAAAAAAAAACAAGTGTCTGTTTCATCATACTCATTTCTAGCGGATATCAATCAGTTTAAGACATTCTTGTAGTTAAAATAATAAACGAAAGGGATTTAGAAAAGTTTATCGTTAAACAACGAACAAAAATTAATCCACAAGCTGCGGGCAGCTAAACCCAGATTTAACCGAAGCCAATTGGCACCGTGCAAGATTTCCATTACCCCATTTGGAATACGAAGGCGAAGCTTCATCTACGTTAGATTCTAATGATTAGTTTTAAAGATATAAGTACGTAATACTCATCAAAGAGGAATTAATTAAACTTTGTTGAAGTTGAAATAGGAAAATTTACACTCGAGAAGACTCCACACTTTTATTTTTTTGCTACCTTCTTCTAAGATGGCACAGGAGATATAAAACGAACCAAAGGCGTCATATTCAACATTTTTACGAATGATACGATAAAGGGTAGCAATGAATGATAATAAATAGTATGTTTGCTTGTATTTGTTTTTTTCGAACTTCAAAAATATTTATGATTGAAACCTGAAACACATCTCGATAGGGGATATAGGAAAATTACATTGGACATTTTGCATTGTAATCAATTCTGATTTATTATACAAACCGTTCCAAAGGCTAAGATTTATTTGAATTATTGGGCTCAAAATGATAGTTTAAGCGCTTCATTATCTGGCTACAGTGACGGCAGACACGAAAGATCCCAAGGAAGCGCCGCGCGACTATCCGCCAAACCCTCAATAGAATAACAACAATGACAGTATTTTGAGATTTATTATTCATGCATTTTTTTTGTATAACTTTTTAAAAAGTCGGTTTTGGCTATTTCCAATTTAATACGGGTCAGACTTTAATAAAGCGAAAATGAGCGCATGGATTTGGGTACCTAGTAATTCGCACAGATATATTTTTTATAAACTGGATTAAGAATTATGATGGTTTTTATAATCGTAAATAACATGACTGTGGCAACACCGGGTATGTCTTCTATAATAAATGCGACAAATCCTGATTAGTGATTTTACGTACCAATGGATCTATAGATCGACTAGTAGTTTATCGGCCAGAGTGAGACGAGCAATTCTTTAATGCTAGGAAAATGTGACGTTTTTTTCATAATTTCCTAACAAAGTCTTATTTAACGCGGGTTAATCCGCGAGATTTCCTTGAAATGTGAAAGTAATAAAATAAGTACTATTACCGGCGTATTTGGTCTAAATTGCTATATGGTTCGATCCCTTGATTCAGGGTATTACTTTCACCAATTGCGCGGTCACGATTCAGAGTTGCTCTCGTAAGCCTTGAACACTTTCTAAGTATCACTTCGCCGTTCTCTCCAGGCTTCGTGTAATTTCATTATAGCCAATAAATCACGTGACAAATCAATACGATACTGATTTAACGAAAGTGAAATCGATATTCGCATTACCGTCGCCTTAAGTATACATTATTGTATTTATTTATTATTAAGTCATTACGCGATTCAGAAAACGAATAATGCTTCTATCAACCAATTTATAAAGAACTAGTAAAAAACCAGGCCCGCTTGGATTTGGGTTTGATCCGATAGTTACCAAAGGATTAAGTATCCCCAGCTGGGCTAATCTGAAGATTTTCTGAAATTTTTATGGAAAACGATCTAGCCGTTTCGGACTCTATATTGTTAGTGTTTAAAGGCGATTATGGAATGCACGAGTGAATGGGTAAACAGCGTTTTCTGTGTATTTTACCAGCGTGCTGTATCGCTAACCAGTAATCATTGCTGTTTCTGGAATATAAAATTATTATGTACAAGTTTTTTTTGTTTTCATAAATGGGGGATTGACTTCAAGAACTTCCACAAGTCATTCGTGAACATGTGCTACGTACATATTTCATTGGTACATAGCGACCTATTGGAGCACGGGCATAGTCGCATCCGAGGGCCACGACGACCTCATAGAAGTCTTCTATTAGTATTACAAAAAAATAATTTCAAGCAAGGCGTCTCCGACACAAAAGGGAACTTTTACCAAGGACAAGTTATTATTTATTTAGTTTACAAATGTTTTTTAATAAAGCTAATAATATAATTCGAGGCTTTTGTATTTATTACATATATTTTTTATTGCTTAAATGGGTGGACGTGCTCACAGTCCACCTGGTGTTAAGTGGTTACTGGAGCCCATAGACATCCACAACGTAAATGCCCCCCCCCCTTTGAGATATAAGTTCTAAGGTCTCAAGTATAGTTACATATAGTATAGTATAGTTACTTATTGTAAGCAAAGAAAAAAAAGGGAGGAAGCAGCCGGTGTGTCTTTACACATATATATGTACATGTTCGTATTACGAAGCAGGCACACGTAGGCTTCGTGTATGTATGTAATCTCAGAACTTGATGGACATCGACCGTTCAGTGATAATTTTTTTACAGCCGGCGGAAATTACTTCGATTTAACGCTCGACGCGAATACGAAACGTTTTGCTTTCAGCTCTGGACTCGAGCTTAAAACGGGGACATTAAAAAAATATATATTGCATAACGAAACATACGGTTAAATGTTCTCAGAGTGTAATACATCAAATCTTTTAAAAGTATCGAATCTAAGCCATCATCATCATCATCATCAACAGCCCACAGTCGTGTGCAGGCCTCTCCCAATCCACACCAATGAGCCCGGTTTACGGCTCTCCTCATCCACTTCTTGCAGGCCACCGTTCGGAGGTCATCGCACCACCTAACCATAGTCTAGTTTAATTTTCGTTAGTTATATTTTTTTGTTTAGCGTCCCAACGAGGCCAACCGGTGCGATACGGTCAGCGAACTGCATTTTGCCGCCACATGCATTACACAAACAGTCTTGTATGAATACAAAATTTCAAACGCAGGAACGGACTGGACATTCCCGACGTGCTTTTGTTGCTGGCTCCTACAATGCGGTTGCGAAACACTTTTTTGACACGTGCCTCTTTAGGAGGAAGTTAAAAAACATCCAAATACGACATAATTATATAAAAGCGGCTGTTTTTTTTTAAAGAATTCACGTGGAATGGGGAAGAAACATCTGTCGCGCAGGTGGTTGGCGGCGGCAGGTGTTCGAATTTAGTAACGGACGAATTTCTTTGTGGTAGAAGACTATAACTAACCATGCGGTTTAAGATTTAAGAACACTACTGTTTTAGTAAATCTCACAGGAACATGTAAATTAAAATTATATTCAATGTTTTGAAACGTGTCTTAAACGCGTCTACGTTCAATAAGTGTTCGCATTTTATAACACGCGTGTAATTAACAGATTTCTGCTAAGTTGCTGAATCACCGTTATCTTGGCGCGCCAGACGTGACCAGGGGGTTTTACGTTGTGTCATAAAACGTAATATATAATATATCCTGCAAAAAAGGGTTGACATCAGAGCGGACCGAGGTGTGGCTGGCTACACAGAGGTTTCTCGGTTTATGATTGTTTGGTTTGAGTAGATGTTAAGAGTTAAAGAGTTTATTCATCTTTCATTTTTAAGTTTAATCGCAACTTATTTAAATTGAGTAAGTAAATGTACATGTAACTATACTGAGACCTTAGAACTTATATCTCAAGGTGGATGGCGCATTTACGTCGTAGATGTCTATGGGCTTTAGTAACCACTTAACACCAGGTGGGCTGTGAGCTCGTTCACCCATCTAAGCAATAAAAAAAACACAGAGATAATAGTTATAAGTAGCCTGAAAAGTGATGACATGACGTCAAAACACCAATTTCACTGGAGTGAAGGCTCTTTTGAAATTGAACATGAACGAATTTTTGTCGTCAAAATCAGACAAGTTATTACTGCTGACCCTGGAAAGAGCACATCATGGTATCTTTATATGTTGTCATGGTTTAATTTGATTGATTTCAGAGCAAATGCACATTAATTTAGAAAATTCGTGGCTGCCCGAGATTTTTTTTTTGCCTTTGTAGGCAGACGAGCGTACGGCCCACCTGATGGTAAGTGGTTACCGTCGCCCATGGACTTCAGCAATGCCAGGAGCAGAGCCGAGCCGCTGCCTACCGAATCGTATCACAAACAAACTTCGAACGTCTTATCTACGGAAAAGTTTTCAAACAAGATTCGATATTGCTCAGCTAAAAGTAATATTCACAATACTTATACTTAGATCATATTTATTGCGAAATATAAAGAAATTATGTTCGTTACGGTATGAGTCAATTTCCGTTTTTCCAACGAATCCAATGAACATTTACAGAAATACCGCGATGGCTATATCGTTAAGTATGTTCTTTGCTATTTGATATTCACGAGAACAAAATAAGTTTTCTTCAACATAATCGACAAGTTATATCGAATGCTAAGCTCGCAACCACAATGTAATCAGCGAAGTGGACGGCCGCAATAGGGAACCCTATCGGAATGAAAATATAATGAGAAGAGGGTCAAATTTGCTCACGCGAACGTTCAAGAGGCACGGGGATGTTATTTAAAAAACAAACAAATCCAAAANATATTCACGAGAACAAAATAAGTTTTCTTCAACATAATCGACAAGTTATATCGAATGCTAAGCTCGCAACCACAATGTAATCAGCGAAGTGGACGGCCGCAATAGGGAACCCTATCGGAATGAAAATATAATGAGAAGAGGGTCAAATTTGCTCACGCGAACGTTCAAGAGGCACGGGGATGTTATTTAAAAAACAAACAAATCCAAAATAGAAGACAAAACATGTTATTACATTATTAACACTAATAATGCTATGAACAGAAGGGTTTATTGTTTTTTTATTGCATAGTGAATTACAGTCCACCTAGTATTAAATGGTTAAGGCACCAAGGACATGAGATCTAAATCTCTATATTGCATTGCAGTTTATATCATTCTCTCTAAGTACCTGATGGACAATAGTTACTGCACATGGACAATGGCAACAGAAACTCTTTTGCTGCCTACAGATCATACATATTTCTTGGGAGATTATTTTATTGGTGTAGAATAGCAGACAGCTCTCAATTACAATTGAATTACATTAAAGTAGTAGTAGTTGTTGTTTATAATAAATTGCAACCAGAGATGTATAGATGTAGATGATGTTAGACACATCACTGCCTGGTACTGACTCACCCTTAACACCATGAAACACCCTTAAAATCAAGTTGCCATAATTTATTATGTAAATTTATATTATTACTAACTCAGTGATTTAGTAGTTAGTGCCCCTGACTGTTGCTCCGCATGTCATAGGTTTGATTCCTAGATCAGGCAAACATTTCTGAACAGGTATGTTTCGTTTTTGTCCAAATGTTTATTATTTATATAGGTATATATTTAAATATAATGTATAAGTATGCATGTCAATCTCTAGTACCCATAACACAGGGAATCCTAATCTGGGGCCAGATGATTGCGCATGATTTAATCACATGTCTTTTTGAACATATTGTTACAAACGTAGTTACTTAGTATTGAGAATTAAAAGAGGGAACCTCTTTCATCTGTCAGGATTCAATTAAGTAATTGGTAAAAATTTATTCCATATGCCAGGAATCTAAATCTCCGGGACTATTATATTAAATAACCCTCAGAAACTGGGAGATATCAACTAGTACTTTTAAATAAATTCTCATTTCAATTATTAATACAGTTATTGGTGATCACAAATTAAACTTCCTTTGAAGGTTTTATAGTGTTGTATAATATTTTTTGTATACATATTCATAGTTATGTAAATACGTAAATGATTGATTTAAATATTTCAGTTGCCTTTGATGATAAAATTGATGATAAATTGATACAAAAATAATTGTTCATTATTATGTTCTCAGTGGTAACAAAAAATAACAGGCAGCTTTGTTACTTTACATAATATTTTCAAATGAGGGATGAACTTTTGTTTTTAACACCAGTTGTGAAATTATGGTATCTCCAGTTTTTGATAACGAATGAAACTTAACATCGGACCAGACTTATTTGCCCATGTCAACACATTAATGTAAATGTTACATGCTCTTTGTTTCAATAGATAATGAAATCTCATTTTTTAAAAGAATTTACCATGTTAAGTTGTTCCAAAAACTTTGAACCTTTCATCCAATTAATATTGTGTTGGGGTTCATTCCAATTTTGTTAGAGAGTTATGATAGGCTTTTCAACATAATAATTGTTATAAATGGCTTTTTCAAATCTTTGTTTAATTTTAATTGACGGCATTATTTATATTAATCGCTTTAACAGAGTCAAGATGCATGCAAATCTCCTATATTATTTATCTTTTAAATAAAACAACATTCCTTCATGATCAAAATTGTCTTACTGTATAAAATGGGACAATATTTAAAAATAACTTTGATACAATAACATTATTTTTTTGCACACTATTAATACTGAAATGTGCTTAGACAGGACTAACAATTAATTTAAAATTAAAGTTAGAGGATTTTTTTACTATCAAAGACATTTTCTATTACTTCAATATTCATTCATTATCAGCCGTATCAAGCAAAGTAGTCAACGTGGTTCTACTAGTAGGTCTCCTACAGATTTTCAATCACATCTGGGTAGTTTATCATACATTAATTACAGTTAACTACATACTGCTAATGATACTTTTAATTATATATTTGCATTGGTCAGTCAACATAATTCTAAAAGGTCTTGTTGTTGTATGATATGTATCAGGTGCCTGTGATACTGGAAAAATATATAACTGGACCCCATTTAACACGGACCGATTATGTACTAAACTAATACATTTATTAATATTTATTTTAAAAAAATCACGACACTATTTTTACATAATTATTAATTACATGATTTGTATTCTTGATTTTCCCTTATTTAATAGATGAAGATTATTAGTGTGTTTAATAAATATTTATAAACAAAAAGAAGTGCTGATTGTCTGATAATACACGGGAATGTAAACAAACATGTCTATTCTTGTTGCACAAAGAGGTCACTTTATGAAAATTTTATAGAGTCCAAATGTATTAATCTAAATACTAGATTTATACTAAAATGGTTAGCAGTAATTCGAGTATGTTAACAAAGAAACTGTTACAACGTCGAGTGAAGCATAACAGACAGTGAAGACAAAAAAATCTTACCGTTTTACGACCATGGTAGAATCCGTCGGCTCGTTTGTAGACCCTATGATTCGAACTATGCTTTACAAACTTCACCAATAACATAAAAAACACCATTAATTTTATATATCACCACCAATTCAATTTTATTAAAACACACATCGCTAAATATCTGCAAACTCACTTCTTTTCATTTTATAACAAGCGACACCCAATTTTAAACGCCACTGTTCACTGTCATCAATGCTTCTTTTATTTTACGATTGCAATAAAAGAATGTGTTTTTTATTTCGCGATTTTCAATAAAAAGAACGAAATTACATAAAATTGTCTGCCATTAGTTACCAACAAATACCGTAAACACAAACTAAAGCTGAAATGTGTGTTTTTAGTAGATGGTAACCAACTTCATGGTAAATTGGTGTTGCAAGTATCGTAAAGTATGGTTTTAGTAGTATTTTTTTTGTTTCATTTGTCCAATTGATAGGCAAAGGGAAAATAATCCAAATAACCAATCTTTTATATTAAACTAGCTGACCTGGCAGACTTCGTAGTGCCTCAATCGATAAATAAAAGACCTAAACTATTGTATAAAACAAACTTTAAAAAAAAACCAAAAGGAATTCGTCCGACGAGGGACGCATCAAAGGAAAAACAAAATTGTTTGTTTTTATATAATTCCAAGAATTTTCATATTTTTTCACCTTTTAAACCCTCCCTGGACTTCCACGAATAATTCAAGACTAAAATTAGCCAAATCGGTCTAGCCGTTCTCGAATTTTAGCGCGACTAACGAACAGCAATTCATTTATATATAGATAGATTAGAAATGGCCAAAACCATGTCTGTGGTACAAAAAGTGTAATGAAAGACAAGGAAATGTAAGGAAACTGATTGAAATAAAATGGAATTTCATGAGGCAAGACAAGAGGAAACTGTAAATGTCAGATGGGATAAATCCAACAATTTTGTTGCATGTCTTGTGCATGTCCACAGACACGAAACAATTTATCATACCGAAATTTAGAAGATTACACCAAATAAAACAACAAATTGAAAAAAAAGATAATTTACTTCACTTTTTTTGGTGATCACAAAAAACAAATGTTCGAGTTTCAACCTTTGAAAAGGGCAAATACATTTGTTGTGAACTGTTTGATTTAAATTCAAATAATAGAACACCTTCTTGTTTGATCCTATTTTTATTGGCTAAGATTTAAGACAGACATACAAGCTATCAGTAATTAGTTTGTTATTAGCGGATACCGAATGTCATAGATAATAAATCCAGTATGAATGCTATCCCTATTGAAACATAAGATTTAGGGCTCAACTGGATTGCAATACAGTTGCGCTACTCTTGAGACTACTCTTCAAATATACACACACATTTGCTTCACAATCGAAGATGGTATCAACCCGTGTCGGCTGGCAACATTTTCTAGAATTAGTATACCTGGTAGACTTTTTTGGCGGGAACGCGAGGAGTGAAGTTGTGTGATTTGTTTTATTTTGTCTAATTAGTGTTTCTTCAGGTTTAAATTTGTAATTACGGTGGTTCATTAACTATGTAGTATCTGTGAAAGTGCACAAATGTGGGAAAATGAAACAAAGTCGCTGAACGTAACTTCTCGGGATCTTCCAAAAAGTCCACTAAAAAGTCTCAGTAAATGACCACCATTTTACTCAGATTATACTCCATCCCATATCATCTCATCTCATTTCATTTCATTTCGTTTTCATTTCATTTCATGCCATGTTTCATAATAATCAACTTCATTTCATTTCATATCATTTTTCAAATAAAAAAGATAATTAAAATTAAAATAAGACTTGACCTAAAGGTCTTAGTTACTAGGTCACAAAATCCCTTTAATAAAAGTATACGTGGTAATATTATTTATGTGTATTAAACATTACAGAAAGTTGTTATGAATTTTTTTACAAATTTTACGCAGCTTTCTTTGTGGTTAGGCCAGCATAAAGTAAAACAAAATAACACCAGAACAGAGAGAAAAATATTTTAAAAGCATTAAAATAGTGCATGCATTACATACTGGTTTGTGTTCTACAAATGTTGTTTCTTTCAGCTTGTGATAGAACAATATTTCCTGAAACCTGAGGAAATCGAACTTGCAGTTGATTTGTACTTCTGAGCCTGTTTTACTGCTAAATATGCCCAGACGTGTTCGTGGCCTAGCTTTCACTATCACTTTTTAACTCGGATATTAGAAAAATTATCTATTAGACTTTTGAAAAACTATCTACCACCCTTACTTTTCAAGTCTTTTAGAGACCCCCCAATAAGAATCTGGCATCCTTAATTTACTTTTCGATTGGATAAGACATATTGGAACTATTTTTATTAGAAATCCAATGAAAAAACAGAATTACAGGCCGCTAATATTCAAATTATCAATAGAAAATAGTGATCATTCAAAAGATTACGACGAAAATTAAAAAAAATATAGTTTCAATATTATTTTCATGGAGGTTTGATATGAACTTTTTGAAAACTTCAAAAGTTGGTAGATTTTGCTACAAAGTGTTATGTTTGATTACGACACTAAAAGTTGGTAGATTTACCGAAAAGTTGGTAGAATTGGCAGCACTGACTCAAGGTCTCAAGGTGGGTGGCGGCATTTACGTTGTAGATGTCTATGGGCTTCGGTAACCAATTAACATCAGGTGGGCCGTGAGCTCGTCCAACCATCTAAACAATAAAAAAAAGATGCTTTGCCAATGTCCATTGGCAGTGACCACGTAGCATTAGGTGAGCTGCCACTCGCCATTCATGCTTGTTGGAGCATTGACTAAAGTAGTAGAAAATTCTTTGATTAATAATATTTAAGATTTAATTTACACCAAGACAAATAAAGATGGAGAATTACAAAAAAAAACTTATTATTGTTTATACTAAATTAATTACTTACCCAATGAATCTGATTCTTGTAACAAGTTTCATAAAAAAACTCAAACAGTACACTACTTTAAATTCACTTTTAAAGCGATTAATAATATTAAGTGATTGTTCAGTCTTGAAAAGTTTCATGGTATTGGCGAAGTATTTTCTTGTTTTAATTTCTTGAAATTTACAAATTTGCCCCATTTTAATTACTTTTAAATAATATAAATAATACCCTATTTGTCATTATTAATATTTATCACTAAATGACTAGATTAAATCTTTTTATTCAAGTTAAATAGCTCCCGGGCGAAGCATGTCGGTTTTTGTTTGGTTTAAGAGTTTAGTTTCGTTTTTGTAGGTCTTGGGTTTAGATAGGTGTACATTTGCAGGAGCATCGATTACGCATTGTTATCGATTAATGTTATGCATTTATATCGATATTCGCTTATTTCGGTAACATCTCTCTGTTAAAATTATAAATTATCTTATGAACTGCTTATTCATATAATGTTTTACAGAGATAAAAATCTTTATGGAACACAAAGAGAAAGCAACGGCCTTGAATGATCAAACCCAACCACCTCGAATTCTAGTTGCTACTTATCAACACTACTTAGTTGTAGTAATCTCAAGTCTCAATCTCAATTCTTTAAAAAATCGGACACAATGTATAGTTTATCAAGATTTGAATTTGTATTGATATTAAATCAATATATCGATAATCGTAATTATCGAATCGGTGAAAATATCGATTCAGTTTGTGATGTTTCCCTCACTATCGCTCGAGCAGTAATTACGTACAAGGTAAAAGGTAAAGGAACACTACAAAACGCAGTCCTGTTCGAACGTGTCCGGTCTCGACTATCTAAGCTTCTCAATACACATAAGTTCACTGCACTTTAGTATTAGTGAGTGTACTAAATGCGTACGTAGCCTTGTTCTGTGACGCATTTTGTACTTTTAAGATTTTTAGAATGGTTAATACAAGCTGATCATTGATTACTAAGGCAGTAGACATTTTAGTGGCCTTCGAAAAGAGGAGACGGCGATAAGTCTTTTTATTTTCCCCTGGTATTCGCTGGTAGCCTATGAGTCTAACCTATCTACTTACGGACCGATAGGTAAGCTCACGGGCTCAATTTGAAAAAGCTGCTAACGCTGGTCAGTAACAAGCGCAGCGCTTCGCAGTTTATCACCGGATCGGAATCTCAACTCACTGAGAGAATCCGGCGAGAAACTCATATGCTAGGTTGCACGTCGAACTTTGATAGGCAATCGGTGCTTTGAGAGCGTAAAGCACCGAGAGACCATAATGCCACGGACAAAAATAAGCCGCATTCTTCTGTAGGCGGCAAATTGGTTACAAATTTTAGTCTAAACGCCTATTAAACTATTTTAGCAAACACACGTACGCGCAATAATCGCCATGAAAGGCGCTGGTGTCTTAACACATTTCGAGGCAGAGAGTAAGTAGATGACTCCTAATACCGATTGAAGCGGTTAGCCCCAGATACTGTCGAAGATCAGTGAAGCAGTGAGTAAAGATATACATGACACACATGACATATTAACTTCAAATTAATCTAAAAAGATAAGTTTATCAAGGCCGTTTTCCAATTAACCATTACTTAATGGTAGTTTTCCAATTACAGAGCATAATGCGACTCAGTGACGCACAATGCCGAATTACGCTGAAGCTTAGTTGAGCATTATGCCGCATAATGCGCTCTTGTGCTGTAATTGGAAAACGGCCCAATATTAGTTTAGTATAGGTGCGCTGAAGCCGCCTGTGGTATGTGAGCGGCAGGGCCGGGGAGGTAGACAAACGTCAAGCTAACTCAGTCTGCCGTCGACCTTAAGTGTATAATCTAAGAGTCGACCACCGCGACGGTTAGACGGTTAAGTTGTTCTCACCAGTTTATTCCAAACATACACGAGATAAAATATCCCAAGATGGGTCCACCACACCACAATTACACGACTAGTGAAAAATTTAATTTACAATGTGCACAGTTTTTTCTCAGACGAAAGGGTGACAAGACAAAGAAAGTATTGAACACAAATATGATAATATATGAACATAAATAAATTAGTAAGTAGCAGAGGCTACAGGAGTGTCACTGTCAGCTCGCAGCGTAATGAGAATTGTAGCTGAAGGAAATTCGAATCGGCAAACATCGGAAAAACCAAAATTTATTTAGTAAACAAATAAAAAAAACATTGAGACCGGATTTTAATATTAATTAAACACCATATTTGCATAGTACCATAGTTATGACAGGCTTAAATGCCGCCACACCTTGTGATGTCAGATCGTCAACTCAATTGAATTGTATAATCATCCTTAAAATCTTAACAAATGAGGGCTTCGCGACTGAAATAGGCAGGACGATAGTAGCTACTAGTGCGCATCCTATCCTGCAACAAGCAAAAGCCAGCTCCTTTGAGGACTAAATATTAAAAAGGGTCTGAGCTCGTTCTTCAATTAAGTAGAACCAATTAAAAGAGCAATCTTAAAAAAAAAAAAAACTACCCTCTATATTTTGTAATGGCTAGTCATCGATATATTACCACTAGATCCCGCGTAAAGGCGTCAAAAGTAACCAAACAAAACAGTGCTTAGATTCATATTAAGCACTGTTTTGCCGTCAGTGTCACGCCGACCGTCGAATGGAACGATCCTAAAATGCGCTGTAAAAAGATGTAAAAAACACGCTTATAAAGAGAAAACAACATGAAATTTAGTATTTTTGGTAAGTTTTATAATTTTTATTAACGTTTTATAATTTTTATTAAAATGATAAATATTTGAAATAAATCAGTTATTCTTACCAAATTAGTACTTCAAGAAATTAAATCCTATTATTTTGCTTCGCAGTTATTTCTTTCGCACACATAATAACGGTTACATGCAAGACAAGGATGAAATAGGGCTATTTCAGAACAAGTGTAGTGGAGTCACATAATTTTTTATTTTTTTATTATTTTTTATTGCTTAGATGGGTGGACGAGCTCACAGCCCACCTGGAGTTAAGTGGTTATACTGGAGCCCATAGACATCTACAGCGTATTTACGCTGCCATTTGCGCATTTGCGCCACCCACCTTGAGATATAACTTCTAAGGTCTCAAGTATAGTTACAACGGCTGCCCCACCCTTCAAACCGAAACGCATTACTGCTTCACGGCAGAAATAGGTGGGGTGGTGGTACCTACTCGTGCGGACTCACAAGAGGTCCTACAACCAGTAATTACGCAAATTATTTTGCGGGTTTGATTTTTATTACACGATGTTATTCGTTCACCGTGGAAGTCAATTGTGAACATTTGTTAAGTACGTATTTCATTAGAAAAATTGGTACCCGCCTGGGATTCGAACACCCCGTGTATCGCTAGATCAGATACGAATGCAACAGACGTCTGTACAATGGACGGCGAAGTGAAATCTGTAAACTGGAATTTGTTTTTACATTTTTACAGATTTAATAACAGAGTAATAAAAGAAAAAAGAAGCAACAATTATTTCAAACCTAATTGCTCCAGTGTGGTTTGTGCAGACCATTTTACCGAATCTGACATGTATTTAATAAATAAAACAATTTGATGGGGATTATGTTGTTGTGATTTAAAAAGCTCTTATCCATTTTCCCCACCGATGTGCAAGGTACAATATAGCTAACTCAGGTATAATTATCTATAGTTATACAATATTTGTTGTTAATCATATGGAATTAAATTGAAAAAATTGAATGAATATGAATTAAAAATAAAAAATAAAAAAAAAATACTCAAAATATTCTTACAAAAAAAGTATAAAGTGCGACTCCGTAATACTCTGTTCGGAGCAGTAAAGTCTTAATATCGTAAGTTTAAAAGGGCGTAAGTAAAATGCTATGCGTGTAAATTTTTGCTTTATTTTTAAGGAGATAAGGTTAAATTTGGAATAAAAGTTATTGTAAAAAACTATCTTTTTCTGTCATTCATGGCGTAAGGATGTAAGTGAATGTTAAAATAATCTAAACTGCACTTTATTGCTTGGGGAAAAGGCATAGTTTAGGTTACAATTATTATATTATACATAGTTTTTCTCCACTTGATGGTGTAGTCAGATCAGTTAGTCGATGCCATTTTTGTGTTTGGTTTTTGTATGTGATGCGTTATCTAGTGGTAATATATCGATGTGGCTAGTATATAATATGGACGACGGTAGTTACTAGACGCTTAGTAGACATATTGTTATGCCTGTGTACGCAACTAGTAGCTAAAAACTTCGGTTAGAAATCCAATTTGTCAACTATGTCATCCCAGAAAGCGTTTTACCGTTTTAAGACGGAGGAGCTGCTGGAGGCTATACCAGACTCAATAAGACGGACGGAGAACACAGCCGAGAGGGGAGAGTTTATTAACCACTTTCACTACTGCCTAAGCGCTCCCTAACGAGGCCTAATAGGTTATGGGATCCGAAATACCAAACTCCGCGGGTAGGTGTTATGGGCTAAGTGTCTCATCGAACTTTACGAAGAGTACAGTCTCCTGTGTTATGGTTGTTGCTGACATTAGTACTACTAGCGTCCTAGAGTGAATCAAAATAACTCTTAAGGTCGGGTTAAAAGCAAGAACGATTTTACTGTAAAATGGCGGTACGCAAAAAAAACTTAATATGTTTTCACATTATATTAATGATTTGATATATTGCCACTAATTCAATTACACATTGACAGAGATAGTTTATTTTTCTATAAAATACATTTTATCGACAACAGTTCTACGATTAACTATAAAAACAACTTATTTATTTCACAACGTGTAAAATACGTACGTAAGTACAATAAATATTTTTAGAACGCTAGATTATTTCACTTAATAGTTGCCTGCAACATAATACATGATAAAATTGATACCTAACGAAGTTTCGTCGTTGAAGGCAAAATTATTACCTTAAGTACGAACATGAACTTAAATATTTACATTTAAAATCGCGTCAACTTAACCTGAAAAAATGTAACCTAATTTTAATTTAAATATATTATATTAATATACAGGCTACATTGAAGCCGTTCTCGGAAATAAAGAAAAACGATGTTTGTCATTCCTGATACAGCCCTCAAAAAATGTATACGAAAAATTTATAACGAATATTTTTTACACGCAATGTAATACAAATCGATGCCTCCAATGAACACTACTCTAACTCAAAATTTTGAAATTTTCGTTTTTTACGCAAATCGCTTCACTATTTTAAAAGTATTACAAATCATTATTGATGGGGCTCGAAGCAAGAGTAAATCAGCTAGTTACACAAAAAAAAACTATAAATATATCTGCAATAATAAAGATTTTATCAACTTTTTTCGTTTAAACGCTCCTCCTGTAAACCTACGAATTTGGAGTTAGCGTAGTGTTCATTGGAGGCATCGAAATAAAAATGAACCAATGCGCGGAATCTATGGTTCCGACAGAACGCGGGGGCGTCTGACAAATGTTCTCGTGATAACGCGACGATTCTCGGTATATAAATACCTGATTCGCATAACAAGAAATTTTGTTTAAAGTAAATTAAAATACTATATTTTCACACTGACTTATCTAATAGAGACAGTCTACGTTTTTATGTTGAATTATTTATATACCTTTTCTCATATACAACAGCACATGCCATTTAATGATTTTTTTCTAATTATCTCAAATCATCTTAGTCCTTTTTAATTATCTAATTAGGAATAAAACGTACACAATTGCTTTAAAAAAACCTTAATTGTACATCCCTAAACTATTGTCCTATGTTATGGCTAAAGGAAACAAATATGTGAATCAAGAACAAGTAATTACTGTACAGTTTTTTTTTTAAATTAATTACTTGGATGGACGAGCTAAGCCTGAGGTGGTCATAGGATCACCACAGACATTAACAACGTAACTGCCACCACCCAACTTGAAACAAAAGTTCTTGATAGTTACTGATTCTGACGGACAATGAAACTTGAAATTCCGCGTAAAGTAGTCAGAATCATTAATAACTTGAATAAGGATTTCAATCGTATAAAAAGATGGGTGGACGATCTTACAGCCCACCTGGTGTTAAGTGGTTACTAGAGCCCATAGACATCTGCGAAATGCGGCACCCACCTTGAGATATAAGGCCTAAGGTCTCAGTATAGTTACAACGGATGTCCCACCATTCAAACCGAAGCGCATTACTGCTTCACGGTAGAGATAGGCGGGNAAATCGATGCCTCCAATGAACACTACTCTAACTCAAAATTTTGAAATTTTCGTTTTTTACGCAAATCGCTTCACTATTTTAAAAGTATTACAAATCATTATTGATGGGGCTCGAAGCAAGAGTAAATCAGCTAGTTACACAAAAAAAAACTATAAATATATCTGCAATAATAAAGATTTTATCAACTTTTTTCGTTTAAACGCTCCTCCTGTAAACCTACGAATTTGGAGTTAGCGTAGTGTTCATTGGAGGCATCGAAATAAAAATGAACCAATGCGCGGAATCTATGGTTCCGACAGAACGCGGGGGCGTCTGACAAATGTTCTCGTGATAACGCGACGATTCTCGGTATATAAATACCTGATTCGCATAACAAGAAATTTTGTTTAAAGTAAATTAAAATACTATATTTTCACACTGACTTATCTAATAGAGACAGTCTACGTTTTTATGTTGAATTATTTATATACCTTTTCTCATATACAACAGCACATGCCATTTAATGATTTTTTTCTAATTATCTCAAATCATCTTAGTCCTTTTTAATTATCTAATTAGGAATAAAACGTACACAATTGCTTTAAAAAAACCTTAATTGTACATCCCTAAACTATTGTCCTATGTTATGGCTAAAGGAAACAAATATGTGAATCAAGAACAAGTAATTAATGTACAGTTTTTTTTAAATTAATGAAATGGATGGACGAGCTAAGCCTGACGTTAGGTGGTCATGGGATTCACCACAGACATTAACAACGTAACTGCCACCACCCAACTTGAAACAAGAGTTCTTGATAAGTTACTGATTCCGACGGAGAATGAAACTTGAAATTCCATGTAAAGTTGTCAGAATCACTAATAACCTGAATAAGGCGTTTCAATCGTCTAAAGAAAAATAATCAAGACTATACTTTAATGGTTTATTTTTTATTTATTTTTATTGCTTAGATGGGTGGACGATCTCACAGCCCACCTGGTGTTAAGTGGTTACTAGAGCCCATAGACATCTGCAAAATGCGCCACCTACCTTGAGATATAAGGCCTAAGGTCTCAGTATAGTTACAACGGATGTCCCACCCTTCAAACCGAAACGCATTACTGCTTCACGGTAGAGATAGGCGGGGTGGTGATGCCTACCCGTGCGGACTCACAAGAGGTCCTACCACCAGTATTAAGACGTATTAGTAGGTGATTAGAGGAATCAATTTGCCATCTCTCTCACACGCCCGCTTCACATAGCGGCAACGTCATAAAACGATACGTCCATCCTTTTCTATTGTTTGTCATAAAATATGATCATATTAAAATCTGTTAAATATGATTTTAAACTTTTCAAACTGCACACTTATACCACGATAGCTACATATTAGATTGCAAAATAAATATTTAAAATTAATAATTAAGCTATAAAACAATGTTAATTACACAAGTTAAACTAAAACTAATCATTAATAATACATGATATCTTTACACGTACGTATGTATTTAGGAGGGATGTTATAAAAACGTTCTCAAAGATACAATTATAATGATATTAAAATTAGATGTAACTTTCATGGTGCATTGCTTAGCTCTCTGTTGGGTGATATCAGAATTTCGGTTAAGTGAAATAGGTTTTTGTGTAATTCCTTTGTTTTCTTCATTCCGTAAAGTTAAAGCAATCTGTTTTTTTTTAAATGAGTTCTAATTGAAGTTTTAAGTGTAGCTAGCTGTGTTATTGTTTTATATATTTTATTTTTAACAAGACTCATTTTAGTACTTTATTTTTAATTGTTGTTAATTGTTCCCATGCTACTATTTTTGTGTGACGTACATTTTATTTATCGCATTACCGTTCAGGCTTGAAATGCGTGCAACCCGCAAACAAAATTTACTTTACCTCAGTCTTTTTTCATGATCATTATTGAAGTGAAAACTTCTTTAGAATCGTTGTGATTTCAAACCGGATGCAACGGAAAAAACGACAGGTAAGAGACACAAATACAAAAGAATGAGACAGAAATATACATACTATTTAATACAGCGCCATCTGTGCGATTTTTTTAATACTAACGTGTGTATGAAAGCTCTTGTAGTGAATTTTAATTTAGGATTATACGTGAAATTAAAATATCAATTCACAGAGGGCGCTACCTTACAATTATTTACTAATGACAAAATTTTAAGACGTTTAGGATAATTGTATTTTAATTTTGGAAGGTTTCACTTCTACCACGTGTGAATTGCACACATGTATTTTTTATTTTATGTACATCTATTGAGTAAATAAATAAATAAAACATCGTGAATCCTGAGCACGCAATCTAAGCCAAAGGTAGTTTTCGTCGCATTATAAGAGTCCGTTGACCCATACGTTAGGAAATTTAATTACATAGGTCGTAAAAAAAAGGTATCGTATCAAGGGCCCTAACAGTTAATATTTCCCTTACATAGTCAAAGGTATCGTATCAAGGGCCCTAACAGTTAATATTTCCCTTACATAGTCATATACCTGTCTAGTTGGTAGGTATATAAGTCTGTTGCACATCTTACCGTCTCCATCCAACCAAGTTACAATCTATCTATTGAGTTCCTATTAATAGCTTGGCAGTATCAAGAGATGCAACAGCTAAATTTGCTAATATTAACAGATCGAATTTAACTAATGCTACACACAGATATATAAATATACCTATGTTAATATTCTTCATAATCATAATAATCTTCTTCTTGTCCATTCTGTAAAATGGCGGCGAGCGATAGTTCTTCGGCTTCCGGTTCCGGTTCTGGATCTTGATCGTCTTCGTCGTCGTCTATGATATCTGTGTTTAATAATTTGTATAATGAAGCAGCACTCAAAATTTGTTAGTATAATGACGCTACAAATTTTTTTTTTTTTTTTTAAGTGATTTTATGACCTGGTTACTAAGACCTTTAAGTCATGTCTTATTTTAATTTATATTCTTATTTTTATGAAAAATGATAATATGGAGTGAAATGAAATGAAAATTATTAATCTGAGACGTTAATCAACTGGGATGAAATTAAATGAAATGAGATGATATGGAATGAAATATAATCTTAGTAAAATGGTGGTCAATTACTAAGATTTTTTCAGTGGACTTTTTGGAGGATCTCGAGAAGTTACGTCCAACGGCTTTGTTTCATTTTCCCACATTTGTGCACTTTCACAGATATTAAACAGTTAATAAACCACAATTATTACACATTTAAACCCGAAGAAACACTAAATAGACAAAATAAAACAAATCACACAACTTCACTCCTCGCNGTTGTGATTTCAAACCGGATGCAACGGAAAAAACGACAGGTAAGAGACACAAATACAAAAGAATGAGACAGAAATATACATACTATTTAATACAGCGCCATCTGTGCGATTTTTTTAATACTAACGTGTGTATGAAAGCTCTTGTAGTGAATTTTAATTTAGGATTATACGTGAAATTAAAATATCAATTCACAGAGGGCGCTACCTTACAATTATTTACTAATGACAAAATTTTAAGACGTTTAGGATAATTGTATTTTAATTTTGGAAGGTTTCACTTCTACCACGTGTGAATTGCACACATGTATTTTTTATTTTATGTACATCTATTGAGTAAATAAATAAATAAAACATCGTGAATCCTGAGCACGCAATCTAAGCCAAAGGTAGTTTTCGTCGCATTATAAGAGTCCGTTGACCCATACGTTAGGAAATTTAATTACATAGGTCGTAAAAAAAAGGTATCGTATCAAGGGCCCTAACAGTTAATATTTCCCTTACATAGTCAAAGGTATCGTATCAAGGGCCCTAACAGTTAATATTTCCCTTACATAGTCATATACCTGTCTAGTTGGTAGGTATATAAGTCTGTTGCACATCTTACCGTCTCCATCCAACCAAGTTACAATCTATCTATTGAGTTCCTATTAATAGCTTGGCAGTATCAAGAGATACAACAGCTAAATTTGCTAATATTAACAGATCGAATTTAACTAATGCTACACACAGATATATAAATATACCTATGTTAATATTCTTCATAATCATAATAATCTTCTTCTTGTCCATTCTGTAAAATGGCGGCGAGCGATAGTTCTTCGGCTTCCGGTTCCGGTTCTGGATCTTGATCGTCTTCGTCGTCGTCTATGATATCTGTGTTTAATAATTTGTATAATGAAGCAGCACTCAAAATTTGTTAGTATAATGACGCTACAAATTTTTTTTTTTTTTTTTAAGTGATTTTATGACCTGGTTACTAAGACCTTTAAGTCATGTCTTATTTTAATTTATATTCTTATTTTTATGAAAAATGATAATATGGAGTGAAATGAAATGAAAATTATTAATCTGAGACGTTAATCAACTGGGATGAAATTAAATGAAATGAGATGATATGGAATGAAATATAATCTTAGTAAAATGGTGGTCAATTACTAAGATTTTTTCAGTGGACTTTTTGGAGGATCTCGAGAAGTTACGTCCAACGGCTTTGTTTCATTTTCCCACATTTGTGCACTTTCACAGATATTAAACAGTTAATAAACCACAATTATTACACATTTAAACCCGAAGAAACACTAAATAGACAAAATAAAACAAATCACACAACTTCACTCCTCGCGTTCCCGCCAAAAAGTCGATTAAAATTGTCAATATAATTATGCTACAGATTAAATTTGTTAGTATAATGACGCTACAGAATAAATTTGTCAGTATAATAGGTTAGCTAACTAATAACTGCACTGACAAATTTAAACTGGAAATTAGTCAGTGCGATAACTGAGGCACCCATCAAGTGCGTTGTTGATTTACGATAGAAATAGGCAGGATGTTGGCAATCACGAGCCATACTCTGAACCTAGATAGGACCATATGACCGGTTGAACTATATAAAATTGTCTTGACTACTTGATAACGACGTCCCCACATTGCGTAGTATTGTAGTACATACCGTGTACAGGAGTTTGTGGTGTCGGCGGGGCGGGAGTGGCGGGCGTGGGCGGCTTGGAGGGGGTCGCGGGCGTGAGGGGGGCGGGTCGCGCCTTCTTCTTCCGTTTCCGGGGTATCGGAGATTCTGGAACCACCGTCGTCCCAGGAGCAGCCGGCGTCGGTGGACCTCTGTTGATGAACAATAAGACATTACAATTATGCTATTTTGTCTTGTAATAAAAGGTATTTTTTTTTAATAAAGGACTCTATCTATTCCAGGACATCCGCGAGAGCACTTAGTCACAACAACTGATTATGAACGATTGAGAATCATTAAATAGATAACCCGAAATATCGGTGTTCGACAAGTGGTAATGCGCTTTGACGGTGACTGTTCCAAAAACAATACAGGCTAGAAGTTACAGCCAAGAAAAATTCTTTTTGTAGAATTCCTTTGGTTTTTCTATGCACAAATGGGTCGTTTTTAAATTATTGACTGCCAGAACGTAGCAGTTTCCATGTGAATCCTGAAACTTCTGGTGTCGTAAACGATTTAATGATGCCCTTTTTTTCCTTACATGTTCGCTGGTATCTTAAGGGGCTATTTCAGCTAATAGTGCTGTGCATTTAAACGCCTCACAAAAATGCTACCCAAAAGCGAACATAGAACTTCAAAATTTGCTATTCTCGTTCTAGTTCGTTTGTAGCAAACGAAAAAAAAAAACCGAAAATAAAAATGGTTGGAAAATGTCCCCTCTAGCCTATTTGCATATTTATTAATATATCTCCCCAAAACTTGTCCAGTTGAGATTAAATGCAAAAGTTTTTTAATTCAAATTTAAAAGTAAATAGTGAAAACTGGGTCGCTTCGCTGTATGAAAAGCTAAAGATTTCTTAAAGTTAGTCGCGCGCCACATGTCGTACGCTGATAGTGCTACGGCAGAAACAATCCCTGGTTTCCCAAACATTTGCAGCGTATAAAGGACAAAACCATACAAATTCTCCTTTTGTACTCGTAAAAAACAGATAATGCCTATGGCTAACCTTTTCAATAACTACGTTCATCTAGTTATGTATGCATCTGTATTAGGCTTGCTTTCTAGAACGTTCCTTCGATCGATAGCTGTCGATTATATTGAAGTATAATTAGTAAGCTTCAGAGGCTTGCTCTGTCACTCACCTGGGGCTGGCGGCAGCTTCCGTGTCAGGTTTCGAAGAGGGCGGTGCTATCGGAGCGCCCGACTGGTCGAGGCTCTTCAGGATGTCGTAATTGATCTTGGAGCTCATCTTCTTCTCGGCCAACATCTTCTCTATAGCCTCACCGGCGGTCGCGGCGTTAATGGCGACCTTCTTTCTGTATGAGCCTCTCACTTTCTTCTTTTTGTCTTTGTTCTCTTCTAATTCTTTTGCTTTAATCTCTTGCTTGACTGGAAATCAACATTTTTTTTATGGTTTTTGTTCGATTATTCTTGCACGTCTTTAGATCATTATGACAGTTTAAAACCTAATATAGTCCGATTGGCTCGGATATGCAGTAGTAGTCGTGGGTTCGATTCCCGCATGAGGCAAACATACGATTGATGAAAGTGTACTGATGGACTGAAGTGAAGATGGATGGAAGTGTACTAAATTTAGTCACAATCGGACGAATGGACTAAGGATAACATACAGATACGCCCATTTTTTATTATATATAGATACATAGTAATAATAGGTTATTTTGGTGAATAGCTCACAGAAGCACGGGCAAAATTCTAGTATACCTAATAAAAGTATTCGAACGTACTCACTTTTCTGTTCTTTCAAATAGCCGGCGTTGACTTTGTTCCACAGTTTAGTTTTGTGCTTAGCCTCATCGGCGCTCATGATCAGCGAATCGATGTACTCTTCGTCTCTCTGACTCATGACCAGTTCGTCGGCGTTCTGCAGGTCCTTGCAGAACGTTTGCTTCGGTTCAGGCTTGACGAACTTGTCTGCGTTCTTATCGTCGGACGGACCGAGGCCTATGACCGCTAAGTCCGGTCCTGAATCAGGACAAAACATAAGGATTACTTTGAATAATATAACAACAGACTTTTTACTGGTGGTAGGACCTCTTGTGAGTCCGGGCGGGTAAGTACCACCGCCCTGCCTATTTCTGCCGTGAAGCAATAATGCGTTTCGGTTTAAAGGGTGGGGCAGCCGTTGTAACTATACTGAGATCTTAGAGCTTATATCTCAAGGTGGGTGGGGCAGCCGTTGTAACTATACTGAGATCTTAGAGCTTATACTCAAGGTGGGTGGCACATTTACGTTGTAGATGTCCATGGGCTCCAGTAACCACTTAACACCAGGTGGGCTGTGAGCTCGTCCACCCATCTAAGCAATAAAAAAAAGGCTGGTCACGTTTTCTGGAGCCTTAGACAACGGCAATATGAATCTTCTTCCATATTCTGATGTTAGACCGAAGACCTTACTGCATAGATAGCGATAGCAGCTATATCGTTATTCTTAACATTACGCGGTTGAAATGGATCATGGTAGCACAACCCGTGCAGGCTCATATACCACTTTCTACCTCTTCATATTCCTATCATTAGGTATACAATAAAGTCCAATATCGTATAGAGTTCGTTTCTAGACCATCTTACCTAGACCCTTTTCGAGTTTCATCTTTTCATGTTTATTTTCTTCCTTAGGTCCCTCGTTTTTAGGTCTTATATCCTTTGTGATCTCGTCAATTATCTCTAATGTTTCTTCAGCAGCGAACCTTGTAGCGTCTTCATCTTCCGAACCTATATTTTCTGTTAGGAAAGACAGGTTTTAGTGCTAACGATGTTACAGTGGGTGTGCGTTTGGTCTGGTAACTAAGAAACCTCTAGTACTTCAGCAGAGTAGGTAGGGTTTTAGTCTACTGTTCCGAATGACCTGTCCTGGATTGGTAAATGGATTTCAAGGTGACTATTAAAGAGTTGCGGGTCAGTTTTGTTTTAGGAATAGCTTTCCGCCCACTGCTTAGTTGGAGTGAACAACATTTGAGTCGCGGGACGGAGATCCGTGCTCAGCGGTGGGAACAAAGATATAGTTAACTTACCCAGGGCTGAAACTATTTCCATACTATTTCGTAAAAATCGGTTCAGTGGTTTGAACGTAAAATAGTTTCTTTGGATTTTTTTGTATTAGTATGGATATGGGCTAATAATACCCGACTGCGGACTTTAACAGACAGGTGTTTGATGAAAAAACTAACAATGTTAATAGTTACTAAGGATAGTTATTAGCATTATACGTTAAGATTCAACTCAACGCGCCAATGCAAGGAATAGAAACAAGCAATGCCGTTTTTATCTACATGAATACCATGTACCTACTAATTATAGAAACCTTAAACCAATAATAAGGCGGAGCAATAAAACCTTTCAAACTTAGCATGGAAGTATCAGGTCAGTTGCTGATGTCATTTGGAAATTTAATAATGTGGATTTAATTTCTAGCTAATAGGGATATTTCTTTGTTCAGAAATATTAGTTTTCACATACCCTGGGAGACGGGTCCCGGTGAACTAGAATACGAAGCGGAACAGACTTTTCGTCTTCTTGACATATCCTTTTCTATTTGAGCTTCTATTTCTTTCTGCAATTCCGTCAGTTCCTTCTCTCCGTCCTCTTCTTCCATTAGCTGAAGAAGAATAGTTTATATTTTGATGACACATCAGGTTAGGTCTAGCTGGTAACCATTCACCACCGCCCTATCTATTGCTGTCGAAAAGCAGTTATGCGTTCCTGGTTGAACAGTGGAACAGCCCCTGTACAAATTGAAAGCGCGGTTTCATGTTTCAAAGTGGACGGCATCATTCTCGTGGTTTCCATTAACCTCTTAACTACCAATGGAACCTTCTCGAACAGCTACGAAAATTAGCTTGTTTACCTTTTGCAGCCTCTCTTTATCACGTTTCCGCGCCGCCCTGAACGCCGGTGGGTCCTGTTCCTCCTCTAGGTCGACGGTCATGAACTCTTCGAGGGTCAGGGCGCTGGATGGGGTGTCTCCGAATTCGAACATGCGTTTGCGGAGTGTTGACTCGTGAACTTTGACTATACGGACGATATCGGACGGGGTGCGTGAGAATTCGTGCAGTCGAGCTGCTATGAGTAATGCTGTAAAAGAAATTTACAATTTGATGTCGCTATTATTCATTTCTATCGAGAAACTAGGGCCTACCCTGAACAACAAGTTTCTCGATGTTCTTTCTTCTTCTCGTCAATGGTAAGAGATCTCGTGGACGAATCCCCATGCGCTGGACTGATCAGGTGAAAGACCTTACTGAAACCACACTTAACGAGTGGGTGTGCCTCGGTTCGCAAACTATGGAAAACATCTGTCAAGGATTTAATAAGCAATAATTCCACATGACCACGACTGCTCTACCAAGAGCAACCGATTATGATGATTGTTCATGTAACCAAAATTTTGTTTCGTTGATACGTGTTTTGTGCATGCACAAGAACTTGTGGCTACTGTGTGGTTCAATCCCATTTCTACATGTATGTGTCATTCACGACAACCAAGGGATTTACGCCTTTAGCTCTAACGCTCGGAACAGGCTTAGGGATTCCGGTAACCGTACTCGTTGAACCCGGCAAAGAGTTCGACGTGCAACCTAATCTAAACATCAACCGGATCTTCTCAGCGGGTCGCGATTCCGATCCGGTAGTAGATTCATTCGCGAAGCAGTTACTCTTTAGTTGTTAGGTCTCTTTTGGAGGCGCTCGTGTAGCTGTTAGCAAATTTCACTCCTCCTGGCTGAGCCCTTGCTCGCCCTCCTGTCCTGGTGAAACTGGAAAGGCCTCAGGGCCACCAGTAATCCCTCAATCATAACAATAGATAACCAAGGGATTCAGCCTTCATTTATATCATTTATATGATTCATAGCCTACTCAAAGTATCACACTGATATACTGCGATCACGGGGCTGTATTTACCGGTGGTATAATGTATGGCTCTGAGAGTGGATACCTACTTTTACTGTGAAGGTTTTTACTGGGAAGGCTTTTACTGTGTGTGTGGTGGCATTTAGGTTTCATTGTCCATATGCTCAGGCAATCATTTATATGAATTCCGCTATCCACCTTGAGACATGAGAACGAGGTCTTATTTTTATTGCTTATTGGTTTACCTACCAAAACGGAACGCATGATTGCTTGGCGGGGGATAGGAAATATCTCGCTATTGGTACCCATCCGTATTGGCCTACATTTACGGGCTCCGCGTGACATAAGAACTGAATCGTCATAAGTAATTTTTTTATCTCCTACCTATGCTGATAGCCTTGAGAGGCTATTTCAGCTTCACCCTAACGTTTGTAGGTGAGCTCACGGGGCTCAAACCGGAGAGTTGCTAACACTGACCCTAGCAAGAGCAGTGCTTTGCAGAATCTACCACCGGATCGGAAACGCGACCCACTGAGAAGATCCGCCGGGAAACTCAGTGGGCTGTGTCTATGGGCTAATTCGCTCGTCGAGCCCTTCGTCGCAAGCGATGGGTTCGACGAGGACGGTGACCGGTGCTTGTGGTGCTTAAAAGCACCGTTAATGGATCAGGAGGATCCGTAATGATGTGCTTTGGGCGACGTCGACGGTTTACCATTCGATAAGTAATCAAAAACAGATTAGAGCAAATGAGAAGGAAAATATGCACAATGCAAATAATCCTTAATTTGTTATAGTATAAGAAACGACTACATTATTATAAGTGCTTTTCAAAGCACGCTCGTAATGCCTGTCTTTTTAAATTCTTAATAATTTAAATATTAAACAAACAAAAAAAAACACTGTTGCCTTGCTTGTATTTCGATTGGATATGGATTGTGTCAATAAACGATACATCCAAACCTTTTTTTTTTTTTCTTATTGCCTAAATTTGTAGACGAGCTCACAGCCCACCTGGTGTTAAGTGGTTACTGGAACCCATAGACATTTACAACGTAAATGCGCCACACACCTTGAGATATAAGTTCTAAGGTCTCAGTATAGTTACAACGGCTGCCCCACCCTTCAAACCGAAACGCATTACTGCTTCACGGAAGAAATAGGCGGGGCGGTGGTACCTACCCGTGCGGACTCACAAGAGGTCCTACCACCAGTAACCTGTATACTCATTTAAAAGTTAAATGTACCTACATACAGATATAGAACAGAAACACTTAGTATAGAACCGTATAGACACACTTCTTATGAATAAAGAAAATATTACTTTAACGTACAAATGTTTGTAAAAAACATATCTATCAGTGTTTCAAATTATATGACCACCGCTGTATATGTACATATGTATAATAATAGTACATATGTATATGCAAAGACATGAACCCTAAAAACATTGCAGTCCTTTAAGAGACAGTCGCTCAAAAACGCTATACCGCTATAAACAGTTTATTCAATAAATTCGAATATCAAATTTAACGTGGCCTTCGAATGAAGACAGTGGAAGACATGAGACCGATCGTCGTAGTGGCAACGCTATTCAATATGTTTTAATTTCCTTGTGTTTGAGTGTGTGAGTGTGTTTGTTTACGTCTTTCCGCCTGTCCCGCCTTGATGGATTATTTGTATTGTAAACAAATTTCCGCAGGTACGCTCAGAAAATATAATTAGCGGCAAAACGATTCCACGGAGCTTGGAAGCGCGTCACTGATCAAATACCATAGAAGCAAAGGCTTTTAACTGTAAAGTACCGTTCTCTCCTACTGTTTGTCAACTGGTTTTATATTTGAGGCCGTCAGCGCAGAAGTGGCCTAAGCTTACCATAGTTATTGTGGAGCAATGAGGTTTAAGTTTTCATGAATTTGAGTAGGCAAAAAAACAATACGCGCAAAAATAATGTTTACAAAGCCATCTGTTATCTATGGGTGAAACTATGGATAGGCCGGTTATGCACCAAAGGAGAATGACCAGAAGTCGTCTAGCAAAGTTGCATGTTGCAAAATCAAAATAACATCGAAATAGTTTTCTAATTTTTTACAATTAATTTCACTACAGAAATGTTTTGTACAGGACCGGAATTATGATTTTAAGATTAATAGTAAATCAACAATTATTGTTCGCATCATTTCCGTATTAAAGCCATGACATGACGTTTCGTTCTCTATATTTAGACAGATTACTCATGCATGAGTTTTTAGACTCAATCATCACAAAAATTATATCAAAATCTTGTACAGTTAAATAACTAGGTATATTATATTCTTATATTACATTTTACAACGTATTGAATTACGATTTTATCATTAAGTTAAAATAATTATTTTTTCTGTGTTCCGTTTCACGCAAACGCAACTGTCAAGCTATATGATATTGTCGAATGCCGATAGACGAGCCGGCGGCCGCGACCCAGCAAGATTATATACTTAATATATTTAAGAGCCATACTTTTTTATGTATCTAAAAGTGTTTTATTACGCCAGGACGTTTATATGTTTTGTTTATAAACTCTTGAGTCTTCTGTAATTCTGTAATCATGTTGATGCTTGAGCCTCTGATAATGAGGAGAAGTCGGTGTGTGAAAACTATGATTAATATGTTTTGTTTGTGGGCTTAAAATTATTTATAGGTTATGTCCGTTTTGTGTATGTAGTGTATACCATCGCAATGGACCAAGAGCATAATTATACTATTACACAAAAAAGGGGATAGGAACATTATAGAAAACTACAGGCCTATAAGCCCTTATGTCGAATATTTATAAAGTGTTCTCCAAATAGTTATTGAACAGAATAACAGGAATAATGGACGAACAACAACCTATAGAACAAGCTGGTTTCAGAGCGGGGTTTTCAACTACTGATCACATTCATGTCATCAAACAGCTAATAGAAAAATGTCAAGAATACGGTAAAGCCTTGTACATCGCATTTGTGGACTATAGTAAAGCATTTGATTCTATAGAACACGATTCGCTTTGGAGAGCTCTAATCCAGCAGGGAGTGCCAATAAAATACATACGTATAGTTAAAAATATATATGCAAATAGCACAGCGCAAATAAAACTGGAATCAACCGGTGAAGAGTTCCCAATAGCTAGAGGTGTGAGGCAAGGAGATCCTCTATCGCCAAAACTTTTTTCGGCAGTCTNACCATCGCAATGGACCAAGAGCACAATTATACTATTACACAAAAAAGGGGATAGGAATATTATAGAAAACTACAGGCCTATAAGCCTTATGTCGAATATTTATAAAGTGTTCTCCAAATTGTTATTGAACAGAATAACAGGAATAATGGACGAACAACAACCTATAGAACAAGCTGGTTTCAGAGCGGGGTTTTCAACTACTGATCACATTCATGTCATCAAACAGCTAATAGAAAAATGTCAAGAATACGGTAAAGCCTTGTACATCGCATTTGTGGACTATAGTAAAGCATTTGATTCTATAGAACACGATTCGCTTTGGAGAGCTCTAATCCAGCAGGGAGTGCCAATAAAATACATACGTATAGTTAAAAATATATACGCAAATAGCACAGCGCAAATAAAACTGGAATCAACCGGTGAAGAGTTCCCAATAGCTAGAGGTGTGAGGCAAGGAGATCCTCTATCGCCAAAACTTTTTTCGGCAGTCTTGGAAAGCATATTCAGAGATCTTGAGTGGGACAATTTTGGCATTAATATCAACAGTAGACAACTTAGCCACTTAAGATTCGCTCATGACTTAGTCCTAATAACTGACAACTCAACAGATGCTACAACAGCTAGCAGAGGTAAGCAGAGTAGTTGGGCTTACTACAAATCGATCAAAAACAAAAGTAATGACAAACAGAGAAGAAATAAATATTCATAAAAGTAGACAATGAAGATATTGAATATGTTAAAAACTATACATACTTAGGACAATTACTGTCTTTTAGAGACCGGACAGACATAGAAACAGAAAGCAGAGTGGCCTGTGCTTGGAAACGATACTGGTCCCTTAAAGAGGTATTTAAAAGCAAACACTTTCCTATAGCAGCCAGTGTTTAATTCTTGCATCTTGCCATGTCTTACATATGGGTGCCAAACATGGGCATTGACTCAAAAAAATCTTTTAAAACTAAGATCGTGTCAAAGGGGAATGGAAAGGAGTATGTTAGGCGTGACGCTAAAAGACCGCAAAAGAGCAGCAGACATTAGATGTACAACAAAGGTGGAAGATGTACTAAAGAAGATAAGACAGTTAAAATGACGATGGACAGGACATATGACAAGGGAAAGCAGAATGAAATGGACTAAAATTATAACAGAATGGCAGCCACGTGATGGAAAAAGAAAAAGAGGTAGGCAAGCTAAAAGATGGACAGATGATATAAAGATGATTGGAGGGACAATTTGGTCCAGAAAAGCTAACAATAGAGAAGAATGGAAGCAGCTGGAAGAGGTCTATGTGTCATAGGACACGATGATCACTGAACCGGGAAACCCGATGTATTAGATTAAAGTTAAAACAATTTGCTACTATGTGTAAATATCATAGTTTAGTATCAGCAATAAAGGCTTACTTAAATTAAAGGCTAGGTGATATGTCAAAGCTTACCAGCTCCACATATTCCGGAGGGTCTTCTCCCCGAGTGGATGGAGTCCTTCTTCATTCGCTGAACCAGTCTGAGTGCAGTCATGCTGACCTCGTGTTGTTTGTCTTCGAATTTCAACTGCGATGCGAACCGAAGTATGTACAAGCACGGATCTGGAATTTATTTTTGAGTTCACATGAGAATGTTTACTGAAGTAAATGTAGCCGTTAACAATGAGGTTACATAATACAAAATTTTAACAAAACAAAATGTGAATATCATCAATGGAGTTGAAATTTAATAAAATATATAATAAAAAATACGTAGTCGAATTGAGAGAATTATTAGGATCGGTTTACAAAACAATTATGTACTGATAGCGATTTGGAAATGTTATCGAGTCAGGATTCGTACAATCTGCGTATATTTTGGAGCTATGGAATTTTACAGCCCCTGAATATTACACGCGGTAAATTTCATTCAATACATATAATATTTCTTATAATTCTTTTTTTAAGTGTTGAAAGCGTAAAGGATTGTGTTAAAGAAACAAAGTAAATAACACGCAATAAAATACGTTTAAAGCTGTTTATATGAACGTGTGCAAGGACTTCCGTTACTCCGAAATACTAACTAAGATCACGTCATAATTGAATCGTGAAATTTTCCGCTATTCTGACGTCAAAGCAAGACTTCATAATTACTTTTTATTTAAATCAAATATTTCATTATCATAATGAATATGAATATGAATATCAAATTCAAAATCATAATAATTCATTATCATCATTATCATTCATCTTGAGCACAGAGTTGTCTACTGTCGGACATAGGCCTCGCCCAATCCTCAAACCGCAATAGTGTTTGGGAGATTTCAAACTGTGATAAAAATTGTGCTCTATCACTATCTACTTTTACAATGAAGTTTTTTTTTTAATTTTTTTTTTATTGTTTAGATGGGTGGACGAGCTAACATCCCACGTGGTGTTAAGTGGTTACTGGAGCCCATAGACATCCACAACGTAAATGCGCCACCCACCTTGAGATACAAGTTCTAAGGTCTCAAGTATAGTAAGTTGCTTTCAGACTCCGCTATAATATAATATATAGCTCATACCACAACAATATCGCGCACCATTGATTTTTTTTTTTATTTGTTTTTTATTGCCCTTGTAGGCAGACGAGCATACGGCCCACCTGATGGTGAGTGGTTACCGTCGCTCATGGACTTCAGCAATGCCAGGGGCAGAGCCAAGCCGCTGCCTACCGCTAAATTGTTATGGACACGTTCACACTGTACTGTACTATATATTATTGGCTAAGTATACGCTGCTATACTATATGGCATTATGGTATAGCGTGGTCTGAAAGCAGCTTTAGGCACTAATAAGCTTCACTGTGCATTAGTTAACCATTTCGAAAAAGAAGATTTCATACGAACAATGTACAGCAACGAACTTACAAGTTTTTTTTTTCCTACTTAAGCTGATAGTCTTGAGAGGCTATTTCAGCGTAACCTTCTAGTAGGTGAGCTCACGGGGCTCAAGCCGGAGTGTTGCTAACACTGGCCCTAGCAAGAGCAGTGCTTCGCAGAATCTACCAGCGGATCGGAAACGCGACCCACTGAGAAGATCCGGCGAGAAACTCAATGGGCTAAACATATTGTTCCTGTGGGCAACGCGTGCCTTTAAGACGGAACACTTGCTCAAAACCGGAAACATAAAACGATATTTACAGCATTTTTTTAAACATAGCATGGCGATAACGCGTTTTAAGAAATTCCGCGTACGCAATGTCGAAGACTTCACTATGCTACACGCGTAAACAGTTTGCTGGCATTATGGAACATCCTCCCGATCCACTAACGGTGCTTCTAGGTACTTCAAGCACCGGTCATCGTTCTCGTCGAACCCGTCGCTTGCGACGAAGGGCTCGACGAGTAAATTAACTCTCAGACACAGCCCACTGAGTTTCTCGCCGGATCTTCTCAGTGGGTCGCATTTCCGATCCGGTGGTAGATTCTGCGAACCACGACTCTTGCTAGGGTTCGTGTTAGCATCGTCGTCAGGTTTGAGCCCCGTGAGCTCACCTACTAGTTATGGTTACGCTGGAATAGCCTCTCTAGGCTACCAGCTTAGGTAGGAAAAAAAAAGCCTATTCTAAACCGTTAACATTAAAACAATTAAAGATAACAGTCTACTAAATGTCAAGCAAAATATGCATCTAGTTTTCTAAAAACAGTAAACTTTATCAAGTAATTAAGGTTTTTGACTTTTAAAAAAAAAGTAATGCCTTTGTTATCCAGCTAATTATCGGTCATCTTGATTCTGGACACGTTGATGGTCTACGTTAATTCTAAACATGTAACGAGGAAATGGTGTTCGTATAAATATGTCCCAGTTTTCAGAGTAAGAGCAGGTTATTATAAAAAATAAAATCTTTATTTACAACAGAACGTAATTTTTTGTAGTTTTATAACGACTTACAGATGAAAATAAACACATTTAGATCGTTTTTTCTTTATTTTCTTATTGCTTAGATGGGTAGACGAGCGTGAGCTCGTCTGTGTGGGCTGTGAAGTCCACCTGGTGTTAAGTGGTTACTGGAGCCCATAGACATCTACAACGTAAATGGGTCACCCATGATTAAGGTCTCAAGTATAGTTACAACGGCTGCCCCACCCTTCAAACTGAAACGCATTACTGCTTCACGGCAGAAATAGGCGGGGTGGTGGTACCTATTCACCCGGACTCACAAGAGGTCCTACCACCAGTATTTCTTACTCGTTTATTAATAACTAATGTTATCAGTCTCCTTAGACACTGCCACGACGAGCTCTCATCAAGAGGCGGCAAGCCGTGTGATTTTGCTTTGCAATAATCGAAAAAAATTTAATAGATAAAACGAATCTCAATCTCAAAGTGATTATGAACGGTTAACGATCTTTTGACGAGCACTTTTGCAAACCAGTGATCTAAAAAACACATCCAACCTTGTTCTTTTGACAATAATATTTAATAAAAATTATACAGACACTTTGATATAGACACATATATATTGATATAGACACTTTACTGGTGGTAGGACCTCTTGTGAGTCCGCACGGGTAGGTACCACCGCCCCGCCTATTTCTGCCGTGAAGCAGTAATGCGTTTCGGTTTAAAGGGTGGGGCAGCCGTTGTGACTATACTGAGACCTTAGAACTATATCTCAAGGTGGGCGGCGCATTTACGTCGTAGATGTCTATGGGCTCCAGTAACCACTTAACACCAGGTGGGCTGTGAGCTCGTCCAACCATCTAAGCAATAAACAAAAAAACATTGCGGGTGACGGCATTAGGCGTCACCCACCTTCATGTAGTTGAAGTCTCTTTGTATTAACCTTCTTGACTATTTCATAGAGAAAATAAGCTGGAAGATACTACAAACAAATACGCAGAGAAACATACGAACCAACAGCAATACTAAATTATTAAGTATTTTTATTTACATTTTATCTTTAAAACATTAGTTACATATTCGATACGGTATTCATTTTGTATTGAACACTTGACTGCGTTCACGAGGTCATTCAAATTTCCTATTCATTATTCGGTTTAATTTGCCTTGATCAATATTTTCGCATTCAATAATAATAAAGTGTCACAATTATATATTTAAATACTAAACATAAATTTAACAACACGGCGTAATATATCATTGGTAGTTAACAAATATACGGTTTTGAATCCCCGATCAGAAGTAACACGCGAGGATTAGGTATCCAAGTATCCTAACGCTTCCCACATTATCAGACAAGGCTAGTTCGTATGTCTTATCTCAAGGGTTGAGACGGCGTTCACTTATTATTCGGTTCTTGCAAGGATTTCACACTAAGACCAATTTTAAAATTGTATCTTTTTTTATTTTTTTCATTGCCCTTGTAGGCAGACGAGCATACGGCCCACCTGATGGTGAGTGGTTACCGTCGCCCATGAGCATCAGCAATGCCAGGGGCAGAGCCAAGCCGCTGCCTACCGCTTAATACTCTCCACAAGCCTCTTTTAAAGAAGGACATGTCATAGCGCTCAGGAAACACCGTGGAGGGGAGCTCATTCCATAGCCGGATGGTACGTGGCAAAAAGACCTCTGGAAACGAACTGTCGATGACCGCAGTGGCTCCAGGTAGTATGGATGAACTCTACTCCGGTGGCGGGCGGTGCGATGGTAAAAGCGAGATGCCGGTATCATCTCGAATAATTCCTCAGAGCACTCCCCATGGAACATACGGTACAAAATACAGAGGGAACCGAAGTCCCTCCGCAGACCCAAAGGTTCCAAACGATCCGTGAGAATGGGATTATCGACGATTCGAACGGCTCTCTTCTGTATGGAGTCAAATGGAAGAAGCTGGTATTTGGAAGCCCCGGCTCAGAGATGGGAGCAGTACTCCACGCGAGGCCGGACTTGTGCTTTATAAAGCAAAAGTCTTTGTCTAAATATCTGAAGCCAATACAACAATATACTACTACTGCAACATGAAAAGAAAATGCTATTCGTTCCCTAAGTAGAAGGGCGCCTGTAGTTTTTTTTATATTCATATATCGTGGACCTTTGCAGAGACAGCAGGCGAATAGGCCTATCTTTCATCGAGACCGCAATTCGCACGGGTCAATTAAGTTTTTAATAGTTATATTGCATTTTATCGGGATCACTGGATCTAGTTCACATTTAAAAAATAATATAATATCTGTAAACTACCACCACTCTGCCGAACCAGCCACGCGATTCGTGTTGAAGGGGTCTCCGTTTAACATTACATTCGTTCCGGTCATCGTTCCCGTCGAATCCGTCGCTTGCGATGAAGGGCTCGGCGAGTAAATTAGCCCACAGACACAGCCCACTGAGTTTCTCGCCGGATCTTCTCAGTGGGTCGCGTTCCAGATCCGGTGGTAGATTCTGCGAAGCACTGCTCTTGCTAGAGTTAGTGTTAGCAAAGTCGTCAGGTTTGAGCCCCAAGAGCTCACCTACACCCTAAGGTAACGCTGATATAGCCTCTCAAGGCTATCAGCATAAGTAAAAAAAAAAAAGAATGTCTAATATAATTCCTAATTTGAAAAAGAATTAATACTTTCAAAAAAGTGTAAGTTAGACAGTATAATATATGCTCTAATTAATCTTAAGTCACAATCGTA